TAACCTTGGACAAGTCCAAGTTTATTTCCTTTATCTGTAAAAGTAGGTTAAACAACATATAAATACATTCAAGGCCCAAATTAGACAATGGCAGCATACTGCTTTATTAACTTGAAGAAACTCAAAATCAGTGTTCCTTGTTGCCATGATTATAGCAACTATTCTCCTCTTGCAGTTTTTATTGCAGTTTGCTCAAAGATAATTGTCTGTTTCATTTTCGGTCATGTYAGCACTTCAGAGATATTGCCACTAAAGAGCAACAAATGCTTTCATTCACTTGGTCTGAATAACAAGATGATTTATCTGACCTCCATGTGTCACTGTGACTTCTGCACTATATTTTCCTCTCAGTTTTACAAGTCTATAATTCCATCTTCATGTCTGGTAAAGGAAATTCCCACCGATTCCAACTCACTCCTTTCCAAATTCAGCTTTCTTCTCTTATCCGGGGGAAAGGCTGAAAGGGATACGCAGTCTCTACTCTGAAATGTCAAACATACTTTGCAAAGGGGCCATTTCCTTATTTTAATATAGAATGCACAAAATTGCTTCGTTTTGTACAAGGAGGAAAAGCAGTGGGCAAATCTGATCTAGTCCAACCTTCTTCATCTCCATCGAATGCAGAAGGAGTGTAAGCGGAGGGATGGTTGAGGTGAGGATTATGCTTAGGCTCTGACAAGCATTTCAGAACTCATCCTGAGACAGGAAGTGATGACATCAGCTCTCAGATGAACTGGGAGGCTGTCATGTGCACCCAGCCACTTCCTGTCTCAGTGGATATGTAGGGAGGTGGAGGAGAGAAAAGTAGAGCATGGGGAAGTGGGTCATGGGACAACGGAGGAAGAGGCCAGACAGAAACAGTGGGAAAAGTCCCAGCTCTGCCCCTCGGTCTGTCCCCTTCTTCTTCTTCTGGGGATGCACTTAAGTAAACCTACTTATTTCTACTCCCAGTAACCAATTTTTTGCTGTGAGAAATGGCTGACTTTAGCAATATCCTGCTGTGAACTTTCAGTTTGCCAACTCTGGATCCTATTAACAATGCTTACATAAAAGAAAGCAAGCATTAACATCTTGTACAACCTACCAATTATTCAGTTGGGACTCCAATATCAAAAGGACATGCCCTTTTTTTTTTCTGATTTATCCCTAAATTTCTACGCTAGAGAGTAGGATGGGGAAAATGTGGAGAATAGATTGGATTATCTAAGTATCTGGGCACCAGCTATCAGCAAGGGCCGGCCTTATGAATATTAACTATTCTCAAGTTATTCACTATGGAAAAGTGACAAAGTTAACTAGTGACACATGATGCAGAGGAAGAAGTAAAAGTACAAAGTTGTTTTTTTTTTTTTTTGCAAGGTATAAAGGGAATTGGGGGTATTAGAGTTGGGTGAGGTGCCAGGCACAGTGAACAGAAAGTGGATGTGTGAGGGATGTGATTTGAGACGGAGGTTGAAGCAGAGAAGCCCAACTGCTTGTCGTCAAAGGTAGGTCCCCTCATGTTGGTATTATAAGAAGAAAAGTCACAAGTACATGAAGATAAGAATTCAGGGTGGGGCCAAAGGTGGTCTCACCAGCTCCACCTTTAGGGAAGGACTGGGAAAGAGTTTAGGTGGGGTTTGCACCTTAAACAGAGATGAACTCAGAAAGAGCTAGTGTTTGGTTTTAAAGAAAATGAATTTTGGCTGGGGGTGTAACTCAGAAGTGAAACATGTGCTTAGCAGGCATGAGGCCGTGGGTTCAAGAACATAAAGAAAGGAAGGAAGGAAGGAAGGAAGGAAGGAAGGAAGGAAGGAAGGAAAAAAGAATGAATTTTGTGCTAACTCCACATACCCAGGTCTTCGTGGCTGCTGCTGACCTGTGATTCCCCACTGATATTAACAGTCCATTCACTGAAACTGCTCTCTAGGCCCCACCATGCCCTATGAGTTCTACCCAGGGACCACTGCCAGGAAAGAAACCCTGGGACAGAAAAATCAGTATCTGGATTTGGTCAACTGGCTTGGATGGAGATCAGCTTTGATGGCTTGATTGTCCCTCCTGTCACCAGGAAGGCTCAGTCCCATCACAGCAGAATCCATTCCAGCTGCATGGAATCCATAGTCTTATGGTCATGGTCAATGCTAAACTCTAATTATCTTCCTTGCAAGCTATGAAGGATTAGAAAGTGACCTCTCCCACTTGTTTCTAAGTTAGAAAAAGTTATTGTTTGATTATAGTGGTAATTTACAAAGTTAAAACATGAACTTTCAGTTAAGACATCCATATTCTGTTAACTTAATTAAACATGATTTTAATTAAGACCTGACATGGACCTTAAAAACTTTTGACTATGCTACGATAACATTTTATGAGAAAAACCTATGCAAAAATCAAACACAAAACAGCCACACAACAAAAGAAGTCATTCTCTGGGTATAGTACACATCCTGAGGTGTGCAGTTTCTACCTTGTAGTGTTGTGGGCACAAATCAGACCCTTAGACGGTTGGAATGGTGAGGACCACTCAGGCCTCCCGGATATCCCTGTCCAGCATGAAAAATTGTTACTGTCCTCCTCAAGGCTCTCATTCAATAGGAGACATCGAAGCCACCACTCAAGTAGAGGCCTCATTTATCTGTGTCAAATGTGATACAAATTTATCAGACTTCTGCTTTCTTCATTTCCTGCCTCATTATCTACATAGGATCCAGAGCTGCACCCAATCATGGTACCCTTCCTTTTGCTGCAGAGCARTGGTCTTGAAACCTGGCATCCCTGAAGTCTCGTGGAAATGCTCATGGGGCAACATAGGGAGTTCCAGGACAGGGTTAAGAAGGCAGGGCTGATAGACCCTCCACGCCACCCAACCTGCTTCACCACAATAATTTGTTTATGTCAGATGGTGCTATTCTAGATCACCTTTGGATTTCCCACCCAGATGAAGTATGAAGCTATAAAGCTGGCCAACTTCCAGCAATTGAGATGATGACTGAGCAGGGTAACTTCCTCACAGACCTTTCCTGGGAGGGTGGGCACTGTTGTCTCTCAAGTTTTCCCAGCATCCACCAACAAGCTCTGAGACACCTGCATCCATAAGAGCTCACATGATCTGACCCTCAACATCTTCACAGAGTAGGAATGACTATTTCTGTTTTATGGGCGCATAAACCAACCCAAAGAGGCAAAGGACTTCCTGAAAGTGGTACAGCTATTTACCGAATCATAGATCTAGGACACAAACTCTACTCCAGATGTTGAATTCCAGCTCTGCCTACAATATTGCAGAGTATGTGTTCAAGCAGACTTGAAGTGCTTTCCCTGTGGGCTCCATTCATTCCTCTGATCTCATCTTCCCAAGAAGGCCTGACCTCAAAGATTGTCCAAATAAAAGCGGGTCCAAGGGAAAAAATGGGAATAAGAAGGGAAGATCACAGACCAATAGAAGAGGGGGATTGAGCATATTAGACTCAATAAATAATATGTCGTATTTATCCAAAGGAACTAAAATCAGCATACTATAGTATATACCAATGTGTATAGTAGCCCAATTCAYCATAGCCAAGTTATGGAATCCACTTAGGTATCCATCAACAGATGAGTGGGTAAGTAAAATGTGGTATATATACATGATGGAGTTTTACTCAGCCATAAAGAAGAATGAAATGATCTCATTTCTGGTAAAACAATAGAACTAGAAAACATCAAGCAGAGTGAAATCAGCCAGACTCAGAAATTAAAAGGGTCAAGTGTTTTATCTCATATGTGGAAGCTCAGAAAGAAAGGGATTTAAAAAAAAAAAAGTGATCTCATGAAAATAGAAGACAGACCAACAGAAAAGAGGAAGAGGACCAAGCAGGAGGGAGGAGGAGAGGGCATGGGGAAGTATAGGGGAATGAAAGCAACCAAATTATGCAATGTTCATGTACAAACAGACCACAGTGAGTCCTGCTCACGTATATAATGATAATATACTAATTAAAATGATAATGATAGAAGGGAGATTGGTAGAGTAAGTGGATTGGGGGAGGGAGATTAAGCAAATTATGTTATGTGCATGCACAAAATGACATAATAAATCCCACTATTACATAAAATTATAATGTACCAGTAAAAAAATTAATAAAAATTTAAAATTGACGATCATAAAGGCCACCTATCCTTCCCTAGATGTCTGTAAGTCACTTTTGCCTCATACATTGGGTTTTATGGTACATGACCTTCCCAGAGTAAGCGACCCATGGCCAACATTGAGGAATAAATCAAGCCAATTACTGAACATGACTAAGAGATATGATGAAACTATTAAAAATCAATAGCTGGCATTGTTCATATGTGCATTTCCTTGATGTACCAGGCACAATGGCTCTGTTTCTGGGTAATCTGTCTCTGCTCTTAAATACACTTCAGGGTGCATGGGATTCCAAAGTGAACAAATGGGCAACTTCTAGGTTAGTACCCAAACCATTACCAATGAATATTTCTCAGAATCCTTACAACATAGCCCAACAAGAAAAAGTGAGAAGAGAAAGAGCAGGAAAAGAGAAGGAATCATAGTTCCTGCTTTTCCAAGAATGCTGAGGACTTAAAAGTATCAGTGTCTTAGATTTAGAACTTAAAGAAACACGCACGGTTTAGAAGTTGCTCTTAACTRTATGGAATTGCCTCTTCAAAAAGCTAAGCAAATTGATTGATTCAGCACTCTTTCTATGATTTGTGGGGAAATGATATAAGCATAAAGAGGTTTACCTGTCTTATAAAAGATGACATTGCGACCCTCCCCCCCAAAAAAAAACCAGAAAGAAAAAAAAATGATATCCAAGTCAAATCTGGACACATSTGAAAAGTCCCATTATTATCTCCAAGGATGTGCACTTTGGAAGGTCTTTGTCTCATAATTACTACTAGGAACTAACTATTCACCAGAAATTCCTTCTCCCTGGAAAAGYGATTTCATCATGAATTCGAAGCAGGAAGGTCTTTTCAAATTTGCATGTRCAGTGGGCTTCTGAAGACCTTACCTGAGCAGAAAAGTCGATGAGCTTTGGGAGCAGCACTTTGCCACCTTCGTCACTCTTGAGGAAATCCAGCAAACTGCCTGTTCACAGAAGAAGAACAAGGCAGTGTAGTTCAAACATGCAAGAAGAAAAACCCAGGCAAAATTCAATGATACTGGGGAAGACCCACAGATGACTGGCTTTGCGCAGTTCTATATGGTTATAAGCCTTTTCCTGATGCTGGTCAAACCCAGTCCCTTCCAATCTGTTAAACATAGTGCATGATCCAGGGGAGAAAGGAGGAGGGCAGACACTGCTTTTCTTTTTCTAGGTGTCTGAAACAATGCATTTAAGAGTATCTGCCATCATAATGAGGCTGCTACATCCACCTGATCTTTCGTGGGCTCTTCTGGAATAGAAAGCTGGCAAGTAAATCCTCATAGAGGACTTGCCTTTAGCAGACACCAGGCTAGGCTCACCCTCATCTATATCTTCTTATTTTTTCTTTTCGGGTACCAGGGATTGAACTCAGGGACACTCGACCACTGAGCCACATTCCCAGCTCTACTTTGTGTTTTAGAGATACTATCTCACTGAGTTGCTCAGCACATTGCTTTTTCTGAGGCTGGTTTTGAACTCATGATCCTCCTGCCTCAGCCTCCCAAGTCGCTGGGATTATAAGTGTGCACCTATCTGCAACTGACAAAAGGTACAGAGCTCTGTACGTGCCATAAATCCTCAAATAAAAATTGTAATGCATTCCACTGCCATATATAAATACATTTTTTAAAAAGAGTATCTGATAAATGAACTCTGCCCTGATAAAAGATATTTGGCCTACCCAAACAGGAGTGTGTCAACATAAAAACTCTTTTATTTCCTGTGGTATCATGTCTAAAACAAGACCTGTTTTTCCCCTGTACTTATAAGAGTTAACCTCCTGGGTAGCTCCTGGTCAAGTTACTGAGTTTAGCAAAATCTCCATAAAATAGGCACAGTAGCTATACTGGAGGTCTTGTGAGGATGTACTTGGGATAGATTTAAAGCATTCAGCGTGGTGCTTGGCAGGTAGAAAGGGCTCAATAAATGTTACACAGGAAATATTCTTAGCCCTCATATTTCTGAAGAGATTGAGTGAGATCACTCATGCAAGATATTCAGAACCATCTGGTACATAGTAAGTGTTCAATAAATGCTAGGAATTGTTATGAGGAAAAGTTATATCTCTCTATATATTACTTAGAATGCTATTAGTTAATCAATTTGATAATACCTGCTGAACTYCTACAAATGTCTGGTCCTGAGCCTATTTCCTGGGCTATAGCAACCCAGGCCATATAGGCTTAGTTTGGTTTTGTTTGTTTAACAATGTCCATTTTTGGAAGGACTCTGATGCTATGCTGAAATATTAACAGATATTAAATAAGAAAATACATTATTCATCTTTCTAACCTATTTGGCTATGACATCACACTATAAAGTTCACCATGTGTGAGATGACTTAATTTTGGATTATTGTTTATATTACTTTCTTCTCTTCATTCATTACTTCCGAAGACATTTTTAAAAATTATTTGAGAATTTATTAGTATCTCTACTGAATCAGAGGTGAATAAAGGAAGAAGGCTGGTAATATAAAGTCCTTTATCTGAAGGTGATAACAAAAGAAGAAAAGAAGGTGGCTTGGAACCTCTTCTTCAGAGATTCCATGATTGCATAAGAATTCAACTCAATTTTAACTTTCTTTTGTATGCCAGGCAAGCCATCTACCATGAAGCCAAATCCCCAAACAATTGATTAAAAATTTTTAAGTGACACCTTGAACATCTACTAGATAATGTCAATGAAAAAAATGAGCTAGTTTTAGAATTTCAAGGACTTCTTTGAAATGTGTATGCATTTATTTGACAATTGTTTATTACAGTCTTAAGAGAGAGGAGAGGTGGAGGATATTATTATTGGRCTCATAGGCATATGGAGGCAGATGCAGAGAAAACAGGATGACTATGCACCAATTTGATAACATGGATTACTTATGATGATGAATAGGCCTATGAAATGCTTTTTTWAAAAAATATTTTCTGATTTTCAGTAGTGAACATTCTGTTTTTCAATTGAAATTATTTGAGTATTCTGTRAGCATCTGAACGTTCTACTGTGGATCGGACATCCTTTGAAGCACTGGGCATTGGGACCACTCACCTTTGGCCATGTACTCGGTGATGATATAAATGGGCTCCTCCTTGGTGACCACAGCGTAGAGTCTCACCAGTTTGTCATGCTGAAGAGTCTTCATGAGGTTTGCTTCTTCGAGGAATGCTTGCACAGACATGGTGCCGGGCTTCAGGGTCTTCACGGCCACCTTGGTGCTGTTGTTATAGTAACCTAGGAAGCGACAAGACAGCAGGGCAGGCCACATCAAATGGGAAATCAAAGAACTTCCCTTTGGAGGCAGAGTTAGACAAATACTTAGTTACAGACAGAGAGAGCCCAAGATAAAACACTAGACAGTATTGAAATCAGGGAGGCTGGGTGAAGGACAATTGGGAATTCTCATCCTCTCTTTATAAAAAATCTAAAATTACTCAAAATCAAAGGATTTTATAAGATAATAGTAAAAAATGAATCTATTTGCACTCCATCATGAGACCCCTGATTAAAAAATATTATCCAAGGGCTGGGCTGGGCTGTGGCACGCTCAGCGGTAGAGCACTTGCCTAGCACGCATGAGGCCCTGGGTTCGATCCTCAGCACCACATAAAATAAAGAAATAAGATAAAGATATTGTGTCCAACTACAACTAAAAAATAAACATCAAAAAATGTTATCCAAGACCAAAATAAACAAAAAGCTTTATATATTTTATAATCCTTTACACACACACATACACACACACACACACAAACATGCACACACACGTGATGTGGAAGAAAATATGCCAAAGTACACAATGAATACTGGCTATCTCCAAGGGTGCAACTATGGGCTATTATATTTTTAGAGGAGTTMTTTATCATTTATTTATTTTTAATTATTATAAGTGAAAGGGGGAAAAACCCAGCATGGTTTAACTTACGGGTTAGGCAGACTCTGCTCAATGAAAAGAGCTGAATTTTAATTCTGATTTTTCTCTTGGGAAAACCTTTCCTCAGCGGTTTGGCAAAGCGGAAATAGAAATGATCACTAGGCCCTTTCCTTTTGTCTYGGTTTCCATGGTTCTTTTGGAAGCRTAAAAACTGAAGTTGAGGAGGGAGGTGCTGCTGGTGATACCCTAGAATCTTCCCATGGGTTACTACTACCTGGTGTGTTGACGTTTTGCAAGTACCTGTCCTAAAAAAGGTGTCATGGAAGTGGTAATTCCCCTTTGGGGGACACAGTAACATCTGTATGTGTATAATAAACAGAGATGACAGGAAGCAGGCTCAGTCAGACCAGGAGTACCTCTGGGTGGTAGAATTTGGAATGACCTTCATTTTCTCTTATTCTTTTCTACTTTAAATAAATTTGTCAATGAGACTGAATCTTTTTTTTTAATAAAAGTAATTATTTTTAATTTCAAGCCCTCAAATGGGCAAGAAAAAGTATTAGTTTAGTCATCCCTGATCATTAAGACAGATTTCTCAGGGCTGAGGTGTAGCTCAGTGGTATAGCTGGTGTGGGCCATAGGTTCTATCCTAAGTACTTGGGGGAAAAAAAGACTGATTTACTTATTAAAATGTTTCCTTTTTGTTCCACKTTGGTTTCTACATAGCAGTAGTTCGTAGCACCCTATAGGAAAATGAAGAACTCAGTATAAAATAAATGTTAGAACATAAGAAGAAGATCGTAATAGAAAGCTGGGGGAAAAAATAAAACTGTCCATATCCTGTTCAAAAGCTACAACCTACTTCAARTAACAGAATCATGAACATATTAAGTTGAATTGCCATCTAAACCCACAATTATAAGCAACGTGGCCTTTTCTACCGATCTTGAAGGTCATTTAAAAGTAAATTCCACCAACAAAAGCCCTTTAAAATTATATGTGAGTCGAGAAGATTCCTTTACAATTTTTTTATTCATTTATAAATAGATCCTCAGTTATGTGAGTCTATCAGTAGCTTAACATAGCCAGAAAACACACTCTCCATAACAAATACAACTGAAGAGAGACGAATGTCCAGAATCTGTAAATGGTTCTTGCAAAACAGTAAGTAAAACAGAAAAATCAGTAGACTTGGGTGGGCATCTCCAAAAGAAATTCCAGTGACTAACAGATGGATGAAAGTTACTCAATCTTATTAGTAATCAGAGAAATGCAAATAAAGCCACAAGGAAAAATCACTGCCCAGCTTGACAATATCAACTGCTGGTGAGCCCCTGCCCACRGGAAGACCCTGGGACAGCCTCCTTAGGTGCTTTTTCTGTGCTCTTTTCCGTGCATCAGTGAAACTGAATTGCAAACTTTTGCAATGATATCCCAAGGGGGCCAAGGGGCTGACTGTAGCCTCCTTCCAAGGGACCACCTACCAGTTGTGCTGCTCTGGCCATATCCTTCTGGGTATAACTCTACTGGTCAAGCAAGAAACTATTAAGAACTCTTACACATTGCTGGTGAGCATCTAAACTGAGACCAGTACTTAGGAAAATAAGTCTGGACAGTATTTAGTAGAGTTGAAGATTCATAAATAGTCARCCCTAGGTAATTGGCAGGCAATTGATTCTAGGACCACTCAAGGATACCAAAATCTGAGGAGGGTCAAAGTACACAATGACTAGTGACTTATATAAAATGACATAGCATTAGCATCTAACCTACCCACATCCTCCCACATATTTTTTTAAAAAATATTTTTAGATGTTAATGAACCTTTATTTTATTCATTTATTTATATGCGGAGCTGAGACTTGAACCCAGTGCCTCACACATGCAAGGCAAGAGCTCTACCAGTGAGCCACTACCCCAGCCCCCTCCCACATATTTTAAATCACCTCTAGATTACTTGTAAGACTTAATATAATGTAAATGCCTCATATATTGTTCAGGGGATGATGACAAGGAAAAAAGGTCTGCACCTATTCAATACAAGTGCAATTTTTTTTCCTCAAATAGTTTCCCTCCAAGTTGGTTTGCATCTGTGGACATGGAAGTATGGAGGGCTGACTGTACCCTTCAGCCCAGCAAATTGATTCCAAGTCACCCTAGAGAAACTTACACACCCTTGTACCAGCACAAAAATTGTTCCAAGCACATTGTGCCTAGTAGCCAAAGCCTGGGAATAACTCCAGTTTCAACAGTAAAGAGTGAAATGAACAAACAGTTACATGTCCAGAATACATTTACAACAAACACCATATAGCTATGACGATGGTTGAACCGAAAAACATGAAGAAATACACAAAGATGTCTAGGAAAAGAGGCCAGGTGTAATAGTGCACATCCAGTACAATTCATTTACATAAAGTTCAAGAACAAGCCAAAAGATACACATGTCACCAATATAAAAGTAGTAAAACTATTTAAAAAAAGAAAAACGTCATTGGGGGCAGAGCTCAGGGGTAGAGCACTTGCCTAGTAACACAAAGCCCTGGGTTCAATCTCCATCATTAAAAAAAAAAAAAGAAAARAAAAGAAAAGAAAAAAAGCCAGGAAATTTTATCRCAAAGGTCAGAGTAGCAGATGTCTGTGGGGAACATGCAAAGCTGTGATTGGGGAGGAGTAAGGGGACATTTGGGGCCTGGACACAGGCTTTCATTTTGTGATTATTCATGAAGTTGAATATTGTGTGTGATGCACTTTCCTGTCCTCTCATTACATTGCATGGTAATGAAAGTTACAGGAACAAGACCGCTCTTCTTTTGTCATCTTACAAATAATGGGGGTTATGGAGACATTTACATACTTTTAAAGGATGAAGGAAAAAAAAAAGTGCATTCCAAGGGTTAAGGGAAAAACTGGCCAGGAAATACTGCAGCTGCTGAAGACATTAAAAATGCTGATAAGGGGTTGGAGACCAACAGTGTCTAAACAGCTGTGTTCCACAGCTCAAGGAGAGCAGCAGATTCTGCTCAGGGATCTCTCAGGCTGCGGTACTGAAAACAGCCGGGGTCTTCATTCTTACTCCAGAGGCAGGGTTTCCATTCATCACTAAGGATCAAATCATACCTTACGAGATACTCCCCTGTCGTTGAAGATTCCATGAAGGGCAGATCTGGAGATCTGGGCTGTTGTTGCAGAACGAAAATGTTTTTTAAAAATAATATTTTCAAGGTAGTAAAGAACTTCCTGTGGAGTTTCAGTTGGCCACAAAGATAGATAATGTGACAACTTGAGAAAACTCCCGATTCCAGCCATGACTGGTTTGTTACAAAGTGCCCACATACCTCAAGGTGGAGGGTAGCTTAAAAAAAAAAAAATGCATGCATTTGACTGGAAGTTGGCAGGTAACTGATTTCAATGTACTTGGCTCAAATAAGAATGTATCCAGCAAAATTCAACTTAAAAGGTCTCCCTTCTTCCACAAATTCTTTTCATAGACCAAGCAGTAAGAGGAAACAGCATCCATCTCCTCACTGCTTGGACAGTTCCCTGGGAATAAAAGAATCCACAGAGGAAACATGTCGCCCAAGTCAGATGTCAAGAGGATCACACAAACAGGAGGAAACAGCTTGCGGCAGGGACACCTCTTTCTTTTATCCCCACCTAACCTCTTTCCCCAGAGGACAGGTCACTTCCTAGTATTTGTTCTCTGAATTTCAAACCAAAAAAAAAAAAAAAAAATCAGACCATAAAATGTGACAGGTAGCCTATGAACAATTCCTCATGCTTGACAAAAATGAACTCACTTGGCTGACAATGATATGATTTAAATTGGTTGCTTTTTTTTTCTTAACAAGAAAAGCTAGCCTGCTTATTACATGAGAAATAAAAACCAATTTCTGACAGCTCGAAACTGTCGAAAACTTGCTGCACCACCAGCCCTTGGATGGTCAAATAGAGACACATAGCAATAGCATCACCAATCATCACTCTTTTGCTTTTATTCCCAGTATTCCTGTGCTCAACAGATTGAAATTATTTCAGTAATTAAGAAGGGATTTCCTGGATGACAGCCAAACTCTCAGACCCTATTGGGAAGAGATCTCAGGTCAAATTTTCTTGTTTCCTTTTCTTTTGTTTTCTTTCCTTGGTAACTAGGAGCCCACTGCACCCTGCCCCACCCTCTATTTATATCTCAGTTTTATTGAAATCCATATACTCTACTGTTTACCCATTTAAAGTATAAAATTGTACAGCCATCAGCACAATCACCTTTGGAACATTTTCATCACCCTTAAAAGAGATACAGTAGTCATTAGTCACTCTCACTGTGCTCTGATTACCCCTAGGCAATTAGTCACCTGCT